GTAATGCTCGGGTGAGTGCCACCAGCTCTTGCCTTTTGGGAAGAAGTCCCTCATGGTAGTGAGGCAGCTTCCACCATGGTGGGAGGAGAGACCACTGCATATGCTGCCCTGCAGCCTCCATCTAGCCCCCTAGTTGAGCTTCCATCTACGAAGAATGTGAGATCAGGGTTAGACAGAGGTTGGTCAGAGAGTCCCGTGTGAGGGGAGCTGAGGGCCTCTACCAGCTCCACACAGGAGTGTTCAGGCAAAACTGAGGAGCTAGCAGAGGGCAGGAGAGTAGCTGGATTAGAAACAATGATGAGTGAAGAGACACTTGGGGGTGTTCTATGAACAAAAGGTGGAACTCCTGAACTCTAGAAAAGTTTAATAGGGATAATGACTTATGACTCAAGAGGTCCTGGAGTCTATGGGGGGAGTAGACCATAACCAGCTGTTGAAGGGTAAGCTTTAGAGCCTCCTTGGTTAAGCAAGCAGCCACTGCCAGTGCCCGGAGGCAAGGCTGCCATCCCTGGGAGGTGGGGTCCAACTGTTTGGACAGGAAGGCAACCGGTCAGTGAGAGGGTCCCACTGGTTGGGCCAGAACTCTGATTGCTGTCCCAGTTCTTTCCTCAGTGAACAGGAGGAAAGGCTTGTGGAAGTCAGGAAGCATAAGCGGGGGGAAGCTAGGAGCATGTCTCGCAAAGTTTTGAAGGCATGGGCTACAGCTGAGGGAGAAGTGAGGGGGCCGGTGGGAGTTTTCTTAGCTGCAGCATATAGTGGTTTGGCAAGTATGGTGAAATTGGGGACCCAATGCCTAAAGAAGCCCACCAGCCTGAGAAACGACAAGATTTCAGCACCTGAGGTGGGGGGTAGGAGTTCCCTGATGGAGGTGGTGTGGTCCACCATAAGGGCCTTGGAGGTGGGGGTTAGGGCCTAGGTAGGTGACTTGTGGGGTAGAGAGTTGAGCTTTGGAAGGGGAGACCCTGTATCCCCACTGTGCTAAAAAGTTAAGGAGGGAGGCCGTATCTCGGAGAGAGATCTCTCTGAAGAGGCTGCACAGGAGGAGGTCATCTACATACTAGAGGAGAGTGCTATCCCCAGAGTCATAAGAGGACAGGTCCTCAGCCATGCCTGGCTGAAAAGATGGGGACTATCACGGAATCCCTGAGGCAGCACCATCCAGGTTAATTGTTGGACCCTGTGGGTGTCTGAATCCTCCCAAGTAAAGGCAAAGAGTAGGCTGGGAGTCTGAATGTAGGGGGATGGTGAAGAAGACTTCTTTAAAGTCCAGGACTGTGAAATGAGTGGTAGTGGGGGGTATCTGAGATAGGAGAGTATATGGGTTAGGGACCACTGGATGCAGTGGTACTACGGCAGAGTTGATTACACGCAGATTCTGCACTAGTCGATAAGCACCAGACGGCTTCTTTACCGGGAGGATGGGAGTATTACAAGGGGAGTTGGCAGGAACCAGAAGACCCTGGGTGAGCAGTCGGTTAACAATGGGCTGGAGGCCCTTGTGATGGGCGTGTGAGATAGGAAATTGAGGCCTGGAAGGGAAGCAAGAGGGATTCTTAAGGCAAATGAGGACTGGGGTGTGGTGATTGGCCACCACAGGAGTAGAAGTGTCCCAGACTACTTGATTAACTTTTTTGGGGGAAATGGAGAAATCGGATGAAGACTTCAGGGAGAAGACAGCACAGGCAAGGGCCAGGAGCAGATTTGGGGGAACTCAGTGTGAGGTGAGGCAAATAGATGCCCTGAGTTTATACAGAAGGTCTCGTCCCAGCAAAGGGACTAGGCAGGATGGGATAATTAAAAATGAATGGGTGAAGGGACGGCTTTCAAAAAGGCAGGACACCCGACCCGTTTCCAGTGGCTTGGAGGGTACCCCCGAGACACCCACAACTGAGACCTGGGAAGGATGTAGAGGCCCGTGGAAGGAGAGTAAAACAGAATAGGTACCCCCCGTGTCCACCACAAGGGAGATGGACTTACCCGCTACCCATAGTGTGGCCCTGGGCTCGGCAAGGGTGATTGGGGTGTTCGAGTCCAGGCAGCTTCAATCATCCAGGAGGCCTAGGAGCTCTGGTGAGGGGCCCATTGGGGGAACCGACTCCCAACGAAACTCTGTCACCGGGGGATGGTTTTCCCCCAGGGGTACTCAAACTTCCAATGTCCCTTTTGTTTGCAAATTGGGCAAGGTCGAGTTGGTGGTCTGGGGTTGGGGCATTGCTTTGCCCAGTGGCCTTCCTGGCCACACCTGAAGCAGGCTCCCAGAGGTGTTCAGGTTTCAGACTGTTTCATGAGACGGGGGCTCTGAGACCCCTGTTGTGCCAGCCACGGGGCAGTGACTAGGGCTTGGGTTTGAAGGGCCACCTTCTGTTTTAGCCTCTGGGCTCATATGGCCTCGGCTTCCTCCTCTTGGGCATTATAAACTTTAAAGGCCATATTCACCAGGTCTCGGAGTGGAGTCTGGGGGCCCTCCTCTGCTTTTTAAGTTTGTGCCGGACTGGGTGACAAAGTGGGTAGCTAAGACTGTGGACCCCGGCGATGAGGAAGGGTCTACATGAGTGTGAAGGGTAAGAGCCTCTGTTAAACAATTAAGAAAAGAAGCTGGGTTTCGTTAGGCTTCTGTGTGATTTCCCTCAGTTTGTCATAGTTAATGACTTTTTGAGCTGCCTTTTCCATCCCCGCAATAAGGCAGCGGAACATCTGATCCCTTCTAGTTCTACCTGTGGCAACATCCTGATAGTTTCATTGTGGGTCCTCGGCAGGCACCGCTATGGCCCCGACTGGCAAAGAATGATCAGAGTTATGTACCTGATCAGCATAGTCCTGAGCTGCTGAGGTAACACGATCGCACTCCTCGGGAGTGAGGGTGGAGGTTAAAATCACATGAAGGTCATGCCACATGAGCTCCTATGCCTGAGTGAGGATATAGGGGACCTTGGACCATTTCCCAGTCCAGTGACAATAATTACTGAGATTGGTGAGGAGGCCAAA